GCTGGAGCAAGGTAGGTCGGGGCCAGCGGCCTCCTCAACCACTGCCCACATCCTCTCCTCGGCGCGGGGTGCCCCCGGCACCGGGAGCTCACCACCCGCCTTCGGGCAGCAGTGGGAAGGGAGCTCAGCCTGCGGTGGTGGTGGTCGGGTTTTGGTGCTGTGAAGTGTCCAGGGAATGAAGTGCAAAGCATTCATAACCTGCTTTAAGAGAGTCGAAAAGCCTTTATAAGTTAAGCTTTCTAGTGCCTATATGCAATGTGTTATGTTGCACCCCATCTTTATAACTCTGAAACATGCCTAATACTAATGTCTTGCAAAGCCCGTGGTAACGTTTTGGCATATGGGCTCTTTAGGTCTTCCTAAATCTTAAGTTGCCTGTCAGATGTCTTAGAGCCGTGCTATGTTAGTGTTCTGGCTGCCTGCTTGTAAGACCTTGATGTTCTTTCTCTCTGAAAGCGTTCTTTAGTCTGTTTGGAAACACACACCCCCCAAAACCCACTAAAAACCCAAACGAGAAACATCCCCACTAGTTGGTCCACCATTATGCTGCTCAGCAAATTCAGACTGTAAAGCGAAAGCCGTTTCTAGAAAGCTTTTTTAACGATGCTTTTTATTGCTCATGAAATTTTGTGGGGTTTGCTACTTCATGTTACTGATCTAGGAACCTAATACCGAGGTGGGTTAGTGGAGGAGTAAGATTTTGGCTCTTGGGAATAAGAATTCTCTTCAACTGTATGGATTTCAGTTTTCTGGCGGTGAGCTAAGAGAGGGTCAGTAATGAAGAAGTGCAGAGTTGAGCCTAACCTCTGTTTTTAACTCATTGTGTGAGTTTTGGTGGAAGGAGTCACACATGTCACCGTGCGTGGCTATCAGACGTTCAAAGTGCTCTGCTGGTAGCAGTCACTGAGAGGGCATAGCTAGTCTTAAGCACAGCATTCCTGATGTCAGTGTAGCTGTTACAGGAAATAAGATATCAATGGCATATACCCCTGTGTGCTAATCTTAGTAATCCCTGAAATAAAATGTCAGGACAGTACTGGGGAGAGGCTACTGAGCCTTCCAAAAGTGAGTTTTTGTGTTAGGATTTTTTTTTTCCTCTGCAAATGAGTTTCATCTTATCTGACAGACAAAAAGGTCCTAAAACCACTGCTTTACACAGTGGGATTTGGTGCAGTGGTGGTTGTGTTGATAAGAGGAACTGTGAGCTTGGCGAGACTTATATTCAGACATCGAATTTTGATGTTAGAGCCCCCATGGATTCTACTTAATAAGCAAGTGGCTCTTTTTTAACTTAAGACAGCGGAACTTGCCATAGTTCAGGGGGTTTTAAACTTCATAATTCATTCTCTTTCTACAAATCCTCAGGTTTCTTTTACTCCCGGTTTTGTAGACTGCTACAGCTAGTGGGTGCTTCACCACAGTTAACTACATGGCTGGCATGTACTGTGGTCAAAGGTACTGTGCACTTACAGCTGTTTCAGTCACTTGAAGGGGCCCTGTAATTAGCCATGCCCACGATGGTGGCCCTCTACCTGCAGGGGGAAACCGATTCTGAAACCTGTTGGCTAGATTGAATAGTTCATTACCAGCTGAACAAACTACACTATGGGTTTAGGTCCTGATAGTTTAGCATAATTTTGTCCCCATCATGAGTATCTTAAGCCTAAATATTGCTCTTTCTATGTGTGTGTGACCTGCGGCACGTATGCAAAACCCCCTTTGGTTTGTTGAGCTCTCTGAAAGTTTAACACCTTTTTTGTATGCTGTAGATTACACTGAAGTATATATCAGTCTACGCTTAAAAGCATAAGGAATTTAGCCTTGTTTAGTGAACCCTCAATGAGAAGGAAAGGATTTGAAACATTTTCTGTTTTGAAATGTGTTCCTAATTTTTTTGTTTTTCAGATGCTTTCATGGGTCAGCTTAATACATGGACTTGGTAAACCTGAATATTTAAATACTACACAATCCAAAATCTGCATAAAAGTTTGTGTAGTCTGATGATTACGTTTTGATGAACTTTGTTTTTAAGGCTTTTCACAGAACAAAGAGGAACAAATGGGCAAGGAGTTGAACAGTGCCATCCATATAAGTAAAGGACTGTATGTAATGTGTGCAAAGAACAGTGTTAAGAAAGCAGGGAGAGATGGTGCTGCAGAATTATACCATTCTGCAAAATTCTTGGCAGATATGTTCATGCCCTTTCTTCTTAATGTAATATCAAATAGTGATTTTTAATTACAGAAGAGAAATACCCAGTCTTCCTGATAAAGTGATGTTTATCTCTTGAGGCTTTGAGCTACAGTTCCGGCTGGGCCCCACTCTTCAAGGCAAGCCCGTGACTGTGTACACGAATTATCCAGCTTCTGGAGAAGTGTTTGATCGCCACAAATTCAGGACACTATCGTGGCACAATCCCACGGGAAAAGAAGATGACTCTGACAAATACTGCAAGCTGGATCTCCAAATTTCGGGGTCATACCAGTACTATTTCAGTCTTGGGTAAGCAAAATTATACACTTGCAGCCAAATGCAGTCTGCTGCCTTGGTTTACATTTTAACCTGAAGAAATCACAGTTAAGAATAAAAGCATTTTTTTCCACATGTTTTCCAAATTACAACCATGGGGCCTCTCTGAATCTGTTAATGAAAGGCAGTAGCCGTGGTGCTTGTTTCATACTTCCTGATGCGTGGATACTCTGGAGAATATACAGAACAGACTCTTGGTGTCAGTGTTGGAGAGTTAAGCCATTTTTACAGGTTTTCAAAGTCATCATTCTGAGCATTTGGATGATGAATTTGTATTTTCTTCATTGACTTTGAAAGTTGTTTTCTATCTTTCTAGCACAAAGGTTCTGGCATTCTTCACATCCCACTCTTTACTTCCTTCTTTGTTTCAACAGGGCAAGTGCAGAAGATATACCAGTATCTGTAATGATTGTAGTCTGGTATTCTGAGTTCATGAAAGATGAGTGGTTCAATTCCCTTAGGCTTAAAAGGGCATTTAGCTCGGGATATCTTCCCGAAGATGGTGCTCTAAATGGAGGCCTTTGTATAAAAGATGGGCAGTCTTGCTTTCTTTGTGCCTGTCTATATCCCACAAGGAGTCAGAAATACTCTGTCTCAGAAAATAACACGGGTATCTCACATTTGCAGAGAGTTTAAAGCTCTGTATGCCAATTGTATTCTTGTAAGCCCAGTAGGGAGATGATGATGCCTAAGAGATGAACATCTCTTCGTTGTCTCCTCTTTTCTTCAGGTGCCCTGCAGTCCTGTTCCCCACTTCCCCCCCAGCCACTCTACTGGGCCACTGTGGTTTTGAGATAGCTGTGCTTGTTGGATTCTCCATCTGAAACTGACTGGTACAGTGGATATTTACTAATGAAAACGTTTGGGGTCTTTTTTTTTTTTCCCCTAGAAATGAAAAAAGTGGTGGAGGTTACATAGTTGTGGATCCTATTCTGCGTGTTGGAGCCGATAATCATGTGTTACCTTTGGACTGTGTTACCCTCCAGACGTTCCTCGCCAAGTGTCTGGGACCATTTCATGAATGGGAGGATAGGCTTAAAGTTGCAAAAGAAACAGGTAATGCTCAGACACATGTTGAAAGATATACTTTTATCTTCTGATCAAAAGTTACACCGAAGAGCTTCGGTGGGAACAGCTCATTTGTTTCTCAGTTGACAGACTAAGTAGGTTCAATTCAGATAACAGATTCAGTGAAATGATTAAAATATTTAAGGAGGTGTAAAAATTCAAGAGTTTCATAACATGGGAAACCTCTGTTGTTTTATTGTTTGGATTTCAGATAGACTTGGAAGTTTGTAGAACCGACAGGGTCATTTGAAGCTGGTGTGACATGGAATTTCAAGGGGAAGATTTAGATTATTTTACACTGGTTATTCCAATCCCTAGCTTTAAGTACATGTTATAACTGCAATTTATTATGCTGCTTTCAATTCACTTTGACTGAAATCCGGTTTTCTTACTAAATAGATTGTTGCTTTGATACGTAGGTTACAACATGATTCATTTTACGCCACTGCAGAAGCTTGGACTGTCTAGATCCTGTTATTCACTGGCTGATCAATTAGAAGTAAATCCTGAATTTTCAAGGCCTAATAAACAGTGCACTTGGAGTGATATAGGAGCTCTTGTGGAAAAGCTGAAAAGTGAATGGAATATGCTTTGTGTCACAGATGTAGTCTACAATCATACTGGTAGGATTTTTTTGTGTGTGTTTAATAACCACATTGGTCCTATAATTGTATTTTGTTATCTCCCTTAACTTCACGCCCTTGAAACCATCTTTTAGTAGCTGTTTTAAGTAACTTACTCGTCTCTGCCTTTGAGTCCCTCAAATTCAGGACAACTCTTTACAATTATAATTGATATCTCTGTAATAGATGTAAAAGAGTTTACTATTGTTAGTGAAAGAGTGAATAGAGCCCTTCTTAAGAGAGAATTAATGAGCTGTTCGTGTGTCTGTATTTTTATAGTATGGTTATTTTTATGATCTGCAGCTCCCACATAAATGAATGGCATCTGCAGTATGAATTTTTTGGTGAACATGAACTGAGTACTTTCTTGTTAGACAGGAGATTATTCTTGTAGCTGCTTAAAAGTAACTGCCCAAATTTGGATCTAACATGCAGACAACAAACAGAATAGGGACAAGAGGCTGGGATTAAGCAATGGAGGAAATGTTACAGCTCATCTTGTGTGTGTGTATGTAAGATAGCTTTGTGTTTGGGGGGGAGGTTAAGCATGTATAAGCCAATGCACTGAAGGCTTTACTTCATTGCTTGAGGGACAGTGGGTTTTCTTCAGTATGATCTGGTGAAACTTATAGCACTTCATCATGTGTAGTTTTGCTGATTATTTGGATGAGTTCACTTCAATTATGTTTATAATGCACTTGTGATTTTACACTGCACTCCTAAAGATCACACTTCATTTTCATAGCAGAGTACAACACACAGTTACGTATGTTTATGTTACAGTCCTTTGAGGCTTAAAAAAACCCTAACAAGAGATACCTGTGAATGTGAAATTTGCTTTATTTGCATGAGTTCTTTGGTGTTGACTGCTGCCCAACGTTGCAATCCAATCGGTCCGCAGTGCAGCGTGGGCCCTGCGTCTGCCCTGTCTGTTTGTTGAGAAGTGACTAATTATAGTTATTGGCTCTGTGTCTGAGGGAATTTTAAATCAATTAAACATGAGGCCTTTTAAACATCGTCCCAATTTCAGATCAGAAGCTTCCTGCATTTCACCAACTGGGAAGTCCAGTGTCTTTCACACATGCTTGAGATTCTGTCATCTTTTCACTGTGTATATTTGCGTGCTGCCAAGGGGAATGTTTTCATGGACAGAAATACTTAACTGTTAGACTCCAAAAATATGTTTGAGAAGAAAAATGTCACTTTATTTGGCTACGTTTGTAGAAGGACTTTTCCAGATTACATTCAGAGTTCGAAGTAACCTTCATTGTGATGGATGATTGATTTGTGCTATGGTGAAAGGATGTTTAGAAGCCTCCTAACAGGATAGCAATATTTAGATGCCCGTGGTCCTGACTTACATCATTAAGCAAGATCTACTTTGATGGCTTTGTTTCCTGCTTTCAAGCTTTTTAAATTCCTATTTTCCAACCACCTTTGTTGTTTAGAATCAAAACCTCTTGATTTACAGCTGACTCCAAACTTAAACACCAAATTTAGTATGAACAGAAATGTATGTTGAGAAATGTCTGAGTAAGCAATAATGTTGCATATGCCTGTAGAGCTTCTTTGGGGTCTTTTAAAGTAAGAAAATAGGCAAGTAGTTTTGGGGGTTCTTTTTGTCTGGACCTTGATTAGGTGGAAGTTTACTTTTGTCTGGTGTTATTGAACAGTAATTTCTAGTAGTTAAATTAGTTCATTCCTGCACATTAGGGTGGTTTAACAGCCCCATTTGAATGGAAAAGACACAAAATGTGTAGGCAGTTATTTAAGGCAGACGATAGATACTTGCACATCATTATTAATTGTGCAGAGTGTCTGCATTAAAGCTTAAGTTGTCTCACAGTAAATCCTCTAATGCTGATAATTCTCACAGCTCATGACCCCTCAGCTTACAGAGGCTGTATCTGTTGGTAGTCTGTTTTCTAGCTGAGACCACTGTGTAGACATGGCAGTGTTTCCCCTCTGTTCCTGTTGGGAGTCAGGCAGCTCACTCTCAGCGTTAAGCAGTGAAGGTGTTTGGTTTTCACACTGGGGTGGAGAACAGGCTGTGAGCACAGCAGAGATCAGGGGGAGTCAGGCTTTGATGGTGGTGTGTCTCTTAGGCTCTCACGAAAGCCAGCTTCTATGGCCTGGCTTGAAAACTAAAGTAGATGCATGTACTGATGTTAAATATAGATGCACCTTTTGGCATGTTAGCCGAGCAGCATAGATGAACTCGCAGACCCTGGCTGGTAACTGGGTAGATGTATCCTTTTAGGGCTGCTGTTTCCTTTAAGGTGTTCAAACCCCCTCAAATAAGAAATACTGTGTTTGCTGGCATTTGATTTTCACCAGGAGACAGAAAAAGGAATGTCGCTTGGGGTTTGTCTGAGCTTTCAGTGGCTATAATAAATCCCATGAAGTAATAAAAATGGACTAAGATAAATTATATCTTCTTTATCTTTTGAAGAGGCTACTACTGTATAATTGGACTTTAACACTGGAGCAAATCCTGCTTTAAGCACTTGAGTAATCGCATCAAACACCTTTTCTCAGCTTTATAAAGGGGAGAAAAAAAGTCATCTTGGGCAATGAGCAAACTCAATTTATACAATAATGAACTAGTCCTTTGGAAACTGTCAAGTGAATTTATTTCTTAAGAGTGTAACAGCCTTTAACAACCTGAGCTCGTTATTGCTTTATGTAACTTTAGAATAAGTGTGGTATTTTTAGTTGTACGTGGCATTTGAACCGTGAAGATCTTAATTTCCACCAATGGTTTGACCTTACAAGCATGGAATTTTGCCATGCTCGTAATGGTCTTGGAGATATGATGCAAGAGAGTGTTCAGAAAAGCTGGTTCTACTATAGACTGAGAAGGGATTCTCTGTTCTTTCCCTTTTAACATTTTTGTTTGAACTTCTTTGAAATAAGCAAATTTGGGGTTTAGGTGTTCATTGTTTGCTATAATCTTGCTATGTATGTATTTACTCATGCTGCTACAGGTACACTAGTGCCTACATGAGAATCATGGAACAAACCAGCTTGGAAAAGACCTTTAAGATTATCAAGTCCAACTGTTCCACCACTGAACAATGTCAAATATTACACCTATTTTCTCGTGAAGGCTCCTTACCTTCTCTGAGTTAATTCCTAATGTTCAGTGTATCTTCTGGTGCTTGTTGATAACTACAGGGGAAGTTTAGAAGATAGAATATTCAAGTATAGTGTTTGAGCTGCACTAGTGTTCCCTTTGCATGAACTCATCTTCCTGTGTTAAGGCTTGATGGCATCGCTGCCCACTAGTCTGCTACTTACTATGTACACAACAGCATCACAGCTAATCCTTTCTAAAAAGCCCATTTAACTACATTTGTCATTCCTTTTCTGGGCAGTGTGTGTAGCACTCTTTCTCTCTGGCTTTGAGTGTAACATCTGATAGGGTTAAGAACATTAAAACCATCAAAACTTGAGTCATTTTAAACCTTGGTTTGAGATGTATGTTTAGCTTTTAACACACAAAGAGCGTTTCATGACCATTGTTTGATGTATTTCCTGCAACAAAAATGTGATTTTCATTTTTTAGTGGTTTGGGGTTGCTTTTCTGTGGCCTCTGCAGCTGTATTTGTTGCAAAACAACTGCTATCAGTAATGCACACGTGCATAAGACATGGGAAACTTTAGTTGAAACATGAGCTAACTGTACATGCCGTAGCACCTCAACTTCTTGGTGTTAGGATGTTTGCACAAAACAACGTGTTAAGTGTGTGTACTTACTTTGTTTTCTTCCTCCCCTCCCTTTCTTGAATAAGCCACTAACAGTGAATGGCTCAGGATGCATCCGGAATGTGGCTATAACCTTGTAAATTCTCCTCACCTGAAGCCAGCTTGGGTCTTGGATAGAGCTCTGTGGCACTTGACCTGTATGGTGGCTGATGGAAAGTGTACTGCTAAAGGGGTTCCTCCCTTGATTGAAAATGATCATCACCTGAATGTAAGTGAATGAGAACTAAGTATAAACTAATGAACACTGTAAATAGCTGAATAAACCTGTAGTATTTGCAAGGCTGTGGAAATGCATTAGAAATGGTGCATACTTTACAGTTATATTTAATGAAGTAACGCTTTACTCCTTTTTTCTGAACCATCCACATGAGCACTTAGCTTTTCTTAATTCTGTCAGTTATCAACATTATTAACTAACATGATTTTTATTCTTATAGTGCATCCGTAAAATAATATGGGAAGATGTGTATCCAAAAATTAAACTGTGGGAGTTTTTCCAAGTGGATGTTGACAAAGCTGTGCAGCAATTTAAAGCCCTTCTAACTCAAGGTAAAATAAGAGTATGTTGCTGAAGCATGTGGATTATGTATTTATAGTTCAAGAAACTTACAGGTAAACTTAACAGTAAGCTGGAGAACAGACTGATAGCAAGTTTTGCTACATGAGCAGTCTACCATGCAAATTTAGGCAGACAAGAGTGCTCTGAAGTGAAGCCTTTGAAAACTTTACACCCCTTCAATGCCTTTATCTACCTGTATCTTGCTTATACTAGAAATAAGAAAGTTGTCTTTTAAATTCCTATTTCTATGTTATGGTGAATACTCTCTTCTGTCCTGTTCTTAGGCAAAATGGGCACTAAATCTGATCCAAATCAACATCTTCAGATAGTTCAGGACCCTGATTATAGGCGGTTTGGCTGTACTGTAGATATGAATATAGCCTTGGCAACGTTCATACCACACAGGTATTGTATTACTGATTGCAATTTCAAGTCACGAGTGAAGTTAAATTTGCAAAGCCAAATAAATGGAACTATTTTCAGAAATGGGGAAAGAAGAATTTTTTAGTTTCTTTTAGTTACGCATAATGTATATATTAAAAATAAACTATTCAAATTGCTCTCTGCTTTCCATGTCCTCCTGAGAAGCAATGGACCAACTGCAATAGAAGAGTGCTGTAACTGGTTTCGCAAGAGGCTTGAGGAACTGAATGCTGAACAACACAGACAAACTCATCACCATCAAGAGCAGGTCTTATAATTACTTGTGTTGTAACGCTGAATTGTTTTAAATTGCAGAGAAATGTAGGAGTTTCAATAATGCCTAATTTAATCACTTCTAGGCTGTCAATTGTCTTGTGGGCACTGTGGTTTACGAACGACTGGCTGGTGGGGGTCCTAAGCTGGGTCCTATCACTAGAAAATATCCGTTAGTTACCAGGTTTGTATCTCTTAATTTTTTCTTAATTATCAGAATCTTCCAGGGAAAGTGAGTTCAAGGTTCATGAAAAGTACACGTTTATACCTACAAGTGTATGTTGTCTTTCCCACTGAAAAATGCTTCTTAAGGAATTGATCCTCTTTTTTAAGCCACAGTGATAACTTACATGACCAGGGCATGAAACAATACTCAGCACAATGAAATCTTACGTAGTGGAAATGGCTCTGGTAGGTGGAAGGAGGGGTGAACTGGGAAAGCTTATACCTGTCAGGTTTGATGTACTTGAGACCATTCATGTATCTGAAGAGCTAGGGCTTTAATTGTACACCACCAGCTGACACCAAGATAGTGGCAGCACCTATCTTTTCGCTTTTAAGGCATGCCACAAACCAGGAAACTCTCCATCACTTATAGTCTAGTCTGTGTCTGGTTTATCTGGTCTATTTAGCCAGTTCATAGCAGATATTTTAATTTCAAAGACAACAGATTTCAATTTAGGTTACTTTGTGGTTGGCTTGTTTTAATTGCCTGTCTATTCCATAGGTATTTCACTTATCCATATAAAGACCTTACTGTGGAGGAAGAAGAAACCATGATACATCAACCGGATAAAGCTTGCTATTTCATGGCACATAATGGCTGGGTTATGGGAGATGATCCTCTTAGAAACTTTGCAGAACCAGGTTTGTAAACAAACTTTGAATCATCTTATAAACCTTTATGATATCCTAGCCAAAGCAGAAAGGGGTTTATTTTGTCTACCTTTTTTCCAGATGTATTCCTATGAAGCTGCAGAATAGCAGACCCTCAGTTTACAGCAGTTTTATTTCCTATTCAGCTTACAAATCAAGTGTAAGAACTGGGATTTGAGGTACAGTTTCGCAAGATTTGAGAGGGAAATGACCAGCTTTCTGCCACTGAAATGGGGATATCCTGCCTCCCTGCTTTTGTCATTGTCTTTTCTGCTTACTTTGTACTTTGTTCCAACACCACTGCTTGTTTGCATTTCCATAAGACAATGGCAGTGGCGGAAAGCTAATGCAATAGGAAGGTGGATAGTGTTTTACTGCATTAGTGAGCAAAAAGTGGATACTTGAAAGGGCCACTGCGTGGCAGTCAAGAGATGACCCAGTTCATCCAAATTAAGAATGCAAATTACTTGTGAAGGTAAGAGAGGGTATGAAATCACCATTCACTAAAGTGCTGCTTTCGAACTCCTTTGGGGACAGTACTGATAGCCAATAAAAGCAAGACTGACAACTCTAGTTTTCAGAGTAGGCATGCACTTTGTAAACTGAATCAAACAGAGGTCAGTTTAATTCTAATTAAAAACCTCTAGAGTTCCAGTCTGCTTTAGAAGCGAATCTAATTGATATTCTCTAGTGCTCTGGAGTTAGCAGATGCCTTGTTTCTGCAGAGTGATCTGCAGCCCTTTTCTGGTTTTTATTTCCTGTTTTTTGGTTTGGGGTTTTTTCCCCCCCTGCTTCACAAGGATGAAGATAATACATGTGTCAAGGGTGGGGTTTCTGCAGTTGCCACTCAGCTAATTGCCCTTTCTTCTGGGCAGACTTTCCTTCACTCTCTGGCATTAGTTAGCATACCTAATGTCTGTTACTGAGTTTTCTCTCTTAGAATCATATAATCCCAGACCTTAAGATCATCCAGTTCCAACCCCCTGCCACAGGCAGGGACACCTGACACTAGACCCATGTCACCCAAGGATTTATCTAAACACTGCCAGGGATGGGGCAGCCACAGCTTCTCTGGGCACCCTGTGCCAGCGCCTCAGCACCCTCCCAGGGAAGAGCTTCTGCCTTAGATCTACCCTGAACTTCCCCTGTTCCAGTTTGAACCCATCACCCCATGTCTTATCGCTCCAGTCCCTGATGAAGGTCCCTCTGCAGCATCCTTGTAGCCCCCTTCAGACCCTGGAAGCTGCTCTGAGGTCTCCAGCAGCTTCTCTTCTCCAGGCTGAACAGCCCCAATGTTCTCAGCCTGTCTCCATACGGGAGCTGCTCCAGCCCCTGCTCATCCTCTTAATTCATCTACAGCTTTTTGAGTGCTTTATACTTGTGTTATACCTTGGATTTGTGCCACACAAACTCAGTTACTCTGTTCTGAGAATACAGTGTGAAAATATGATGCATAAGGGCACAAATACACGACTTGCAAAACAATTGTAGCTAGTTCAGTAAATGGCCCATAAAAAAATAATGGTGTTCATCCAAAGGAAGCCAGTTTTTCTGTCCATGTGGCTATCTTGCCATCAGTGAAGATGAAAGGTCAGCTGTGCTTCAGTGAATGCTTTTGGAAGTTCTGGTGAGTTACAGTCCCTGCTCTTTACTTACCAGCTTGCAGACTCTTGTGCATCTCTCATTGTGTAGGCCCAATCGCTAAGGTGTCCATAAAGTGAGCTTAGAAAATCAGTCTGGCTTTTCAGCCAGTTTCCTCATCTAATTCAAGCTTCAACCACTAAAATAGCTGTCGGGGTGCACCAGTATAGCTGGGCTGGGTGTAGCAGAAAGCAATGGAGTAGCTACGTCTTACCCATCCTGAGTGGAGCTCACCGTGTTCGTGCTTTGGTCAGGTTTAGATAAGATGAATATAAGGAGACCTTCAGAAGCCTGATGGCTCAAATACAATTGTATTTCTCTTATGTGGGTCTGTATATTGACATTTCCATGGCTGTCCTGGGTATTCCATGTTGCAAACAGTGTGGGTTTGATGTTTGTTTGGATTTTAAATGGTATTGCTGCACTGTCAAATAGGTGATTTATATAGGCCAGAAATCACTTTTTTTAGATCTGACTGATTATTTAAGTCTTTGCCACAGTTAAATCTCCATCAGTATGTTCTGAGCAATAAGTACATTACAGGTGAACTTGGATTTAAAGATTTTTTGTTACTGATTGCATCTAAAAGAAGGTGAAAAATTAGTATATGAAACCCGATGAGATGGAGGATAACTATTTTCATACACACAAAAGCTATTTAGGAACGTTGTCCATTTAAGTGCCCTACCTGCCTAAGTACTTTGGACATTTGCCTTACAGCATCACAGTCTGCTGTTAGCAGAAATAGAATATGAGGCTGGGGCTGTGGCAGTTTATAGATGGAAACACAGAGAGATGCTTTTCAATTTGGCTGGTATAAACAGCCCAACTACTGATTCCCTTCATTTGTTTGCTGCCTTTTTCTTCTTTTTTTCCTCTCAAGTACAGTTTTTGTACTACTTTGAAGAATTATAAGGGATTTTATTTCAATTTGAAGAAGTAATATCACTGTAGAAGTCCACTGTTCCCTTGGAGTACTCTGAAATCGTGTGTCAGTGTAGAGCGTGTAGATTTTGAGTTGATACAGTTGTTGTTAGAATCTTTATTCTTCATCACAGTGTTGGAGGAGGTGAAATACCACGTTCTCCTTTTGGTACACGTTTGGTACTCTACATACACACTATAATGAATTTATTTCCCTTGCAGGTTCAAATGTTTACTTGAGAAGAGAGCTCATTTGCTGGGGAGACAGTGTGAAGCTGCGTTACGGTAACAAACCTGAAGACTGCCCATACCTGTGGGCTCACATGAAAAAATACACTGAAATCACTGCCAAGTATTTCCATGGTGTTCGTCTTGACAACTGTCACTCAACCCCCATTCATGTAGCTGAGGTATGTAAAATTAGGCATGTTTGTTATAAAGCAGGTTCTGCCTTTGAACTCAGTCCTGCACCGTTGCTGTGGAATTTGCAGGAGAGTTCAGGTGTGAATGAATCTTCCCCATACCATAAGCAATGTTTCTTGCCTGGTGATGTTAGGTATGGTTTCAGCTGCTTTAAACAGGTAGTAGAGTGGTGTAGCTATTGTGTCTTTTACCTCTGTGCTTTAGCTTAAATATTACACACACAGATGGACCTGGCTAAACTTCCCCTCATGTAGCTATGGACTAAGTGCAGTGCCTGCCAGTGTGCAGGATGTCAGTTTTAGCTGGGGTCATTGCCAAGACATGGTTCAAAGTCTTCGTGTGTCTTTGCCATACGTTTTTTTGCTGTTGGTGAATTTAAGCAGGAAGAGGTTTACTTACCAGAATTGAAAAGCTGGGAAAGAGCACCTGCAAGAAGTTCTCTGGCAGGCTTATTGCTACACTTAGTGCTTCTTGTTCACCACGGTGTGGACTCAGTCCAGACATTGTACTTCCCTAGGAAATGAGCTTCAAGTGGAACTGAGTAGTACAGCTTGTTAGTGCGTAATCTTAGCTTGGTTACAGAGCTTACACACATCTCTGAAGAGCTCTCTGGAACAAGTTGAGTTGCCCACACAGGAGCTCTTCAGTGCAACCATTTCCAAACTTCTGCCATTCTTTCATTTCTTGTTACTGGGTTTGGAATGGTAACTTTGAAGGCTTAAACTGAAGCCTTTACAGGTATCGCTTTTATCCAGCCTTTGTCCTTGCATTTTGAGTTAGCTTTTGTTTGAAACCAAAGTTGTAATTAGCTTTAACTCTAGGAGAATTTCCTAGAATGAACTAGTGAGATATAAATGTGGTGTTATCAGTCTTAAGATTTTTTTTAATGACCAGCATATATGAATTACTTACATTTGGTTACCGTTCATGTTCAAGATTGCAAATATATATATATATATATATAGCTGACAATGGATGTCTTGCATTAAAAATGTATTATGATCTATAGGAGATGCTAGCAACAGCCAGATCAGTCAGACCTAATCTTTATGTGGTAGCTGAACTCTTCACGGGCAGTGAGTACATTGACAATATTTTTGTCAACCGCCTGGGAATTACCAGCCTGATCAGAGGTACAATAAGCAGATGGGAATGATGTAGGATTGTCATGTATGGTTTGGAGTTTTTAATGTGAAGCTAACACTGGTATGCCTTTTTTTTTTTCCTCACATATTCATGTTCTTTGCTTATGCAATTACCTTTTCTTCATTTTCCATTTAACTTGCCTGTGTTGTATGCTACTTCTTGATTTTTTTGCTTATGTTTGTGTCCTCTTCTATGTAACAACTCTTTTGTTCCTTAATTTTGCCTGTTTATCTTTGCTGCATGGCATTTTCCTATTGTCCACTCCCTGCCTAGCTTTGAAACTTGTCCTTTTTTGTATCTACCTTTCCCCCTTTTCTGTGGCTTTTTTGGCTGTGCTTTTTGCAGTACATGCTGGACACAGCTAGGAAATTGCGAGCCAATTTGTATGTAGTGGCTGAGCTGTTCACAGGAAATGAGGAGCTGGACAATATCTTTGTGAATAGGCTGGGCATTACCTCCTTAATAAGAGGTAGGCTTGCTGTGTGTGTGCTGTCTTCCCAACAAGAGATTATAGATGACATAGATGCTTGTTCCAAGGAAAAGGTTTATTCTGCATTATGCACTAGGAATTTCATACTCTGTGCAATCAGAAGTCCATTTTTTGTATTGTGACTTCCTTGATACTTCAGCAGAAAATACAGTACTAAAAGAAGAGAAGACATCCTGCATCAGTGTAAGGGTTAAATATTTCCCTCTTATTTTAGCATAGCACAGTCCTGCTGTGCAAGTGCTGCATCATGTCTGACTTCTGTTGCACCAGTTTCTTAAAGCCTACGAGGAACAGTTTCAGATCTTTCTTCTTTTTCCTCTTAGCTTTCTCTACCTTAATCTATTGCACCAAATGGCTCAAGGTTGCACATTCACACTGGAGTGTATAGTTATATGTAATTTTTATAGCTGTTAATGATTGAACACACCAAAGTAACAACTGTAAAATGCTGCATTAGCATCTTTGTGCATGTTTTACTCTATGGTGGTTACTTTTATGCAAACATCTACCTGTTTTATTCTTCAGAGGCAATGACTGCTTATAACAGCCATGAAGAAGGAAGGTTGGTTTATCGGTTTGGAGGTGAACCCGTTGGCTCTTTTGTTCAGCCACATTTGAGGCCTTTGATGCCAGCTATTGCTCATGCACTCTTTATGGATATTACCCATGATAATGAATGTCCAATTCAGGTGAGCACCTAAATAAAACCCCAGAGTGTGCATTGAATATTTTCTGGATTGCTGTTTCTGGGCCATGGGAGGGCTTGGTACTATCTGAATGTTTTCCACGAGCAATACTGGGGAAAAATGTGTTTCAGTTCTTCAAGTTTGCATGCAGAGAATAGAATTTTATAACAGCTCCCTCTGACGTTCAGGACTTTTTCTTTCAAGGGAAAAAGTGTATAAAGCTACTTCATGAACTGGTTTGATTCTTTCATTCCAGCCACTGTAAGTGGTTCTGCTTCTTAACTCGTTCTCCTAACCACTCTAAAGGGGAGAATGAGAGTGTGGTGGGTGTTGGAGTGCTTATTTTTGTGGGTTTCTTCTAAGTTGCTTTTGTTAGCGCATTTGTAGTAAATTTTACTCCTCTTTTTTAAACTGAGTAGGTCTTCTGCATGCTGAATGGGGAGGGACGAATTATGTCTTTGTTCCACTATGTTTTTACTGTAGCACCGATCCGCTTATGAAAGCGCAATGATTGTTTCCATGGCATGCTGTGCTACAGGAAGCACCAAAGGCTATGATGAGCTAGTACCACACCAGGTATCTGTCTACAGCTGAACTCCTCAGTTCTTTTTGCATATGTAAGCTTTATTCTTGTCCTAGGACATATTTTCGTGCTATTTGAAATTCCAAGCAGTTAAGCAGCTGGTGGTACTTTGGATCATCTGATTTCATATGAAATTTGAATTGATTATATAGAATCAGCCAGGTTGGAAAACACCTTTA